TCTCCCAAAAGACACCGTGCTGTATTCTGTACAGTGCATGCCCACAGTCACTTTCCTGTGTTATCCTTTAGGAATGCTGTTCAGGACTAGGGGGGTGGAACTCAGTGGAGCAGCCTTGACTAGCATGTGCAAAGCCCTGGGTTCCATCCCCAGTGCTGCAAATAAATCATAACTAAATAAAAATGCTGGTCGTGGCCCATTTACCTTGATTTCACAATCCACTGATCTATGTGGAGTGGGACTCCTGGATGCTGGATATGTTCATTTCAATTTAAAACAAAACAACGTTTCCAAAGTGTCTGCAGCAATTGGCTCTCCCACCTGCAGTCCGGGAGCATTCTATGGAAATCATCCTGAGGGACACTCAACGTTACAGATATCTGATTTTTGCCAGGCGCATGTGCAGAGAGCAGAACCTCATTGTGCCTTCAGTCTGCATTTCCTTGGGCATCAAGAGGCTGAGCAGCTCCTGTGCTCCTGTACCCCTGGGCTTTGCTCCTCAGGCTGTGCCTCTTCATGCACACTGCCTGTTTTTCCGTTGGATTACTCACCTTTCTTTGGATGCATCACAGCAGGGGGTCCCCAGAGAAGGGAAGAGAGTTCATCTTGGCCAAAGTAGAGGAAGGGTGAAGGTGGAGACAGAAACACAAACAAGTTTTGAAGGATTTGCCTGGGGCTGAGGGGTACAACAGGCTGGTTGGCTGGGGTGCTCTAAGGCCTGGCTATGGGAACAGGAAGAAGGTTAACTGGGCAGTACTGAGGCTGGAGACCCAGTCCATCATGGACAGCATTTATTCCAAGGTGAGAAATGAAAAGGAGAACTGTGGGCCAGAGCCTGGGGAGGTAGTGGGGAGGGCAGGTGCATGGGCTGGGGCTGGGAAGTCTATTCCTCATCAGGCTCTCTCTTTCTCCTCAGTCTGTGGCTTCTCCTATGAACAGGACCCCACCCTCAGGGACCCAGAGGCCATGACTCGGCGGTGGCCATGGATGGTCAGTGTGAGGGCCAATGGTATACATGTCTGTTCGGGCACCCTCATTGCCTCCCGATGGGTCCTGGCCGTGGCCCACTGCCTGACTCAGTGAGTTGGGGCCCAGGCGGGTGGGTCGAGAGGCACTGGAGTGCTGGGGACCTGGTCATCTGCCTGGTCTGTTTGTTAGTGGGGACAGTGTTCTTTGTGGAACCCACAGTTCCAGCCTCACCCTCACTCACCCTGGTTCCAATCAAGTGAGGGTTGAGTCCTGCAGAATCTTTTCTAGGGGCCAGTCTTTGGAGAGTCCCCTCACCTGGGCCCTTATTCCTGTACAGTCATTCCTCAGGGAATAGAGGCTCAGGGGCCATTTTTCTGGCTTCCTACCTCTCCTCCATTGGGAAGAAGGTCCTAGGTCTTGCACCCCCACAATTTGCTCCCACTTGTTCGATCCTCCCTTCCATCGACCAGTGGACACTCCTCTGAGCCAGGCCCTGGCCTAGGCACTGGAGGCAGAGAGGGGATGAATCATTCCTCCCAGTTAGTGGGAAGACAGGCAAGGGGATAGATACTCACAGGGGAGTGTGGCTGGTATGGAGACGAAAGAGTGGGTATGTTGGGGTCCTGGGACCAGGAGAGCAGCCTGGGGGTACCATCTGGGCTGTGAAGACTGACCAGTGGACACCCGTGCTCCAGGTCTCAGGGCCATCATAGGGACTCCAAGAGGTGTGCCAGAGAAGGCAGCCTGGAGCCAAGCCAAGCCAGTTACACAGGGTCTGTGTCACCTGCCAGGCTGTATTGTATTGGAAAGAGCTCAGAGTCTGGAAGCAGAGAAAACGGGGTCCACATCCCAGCTCTAACACTTCTAGGCTGGGCAGCCTTGATCAAATCACTGGGCTTCTCTGGGCCTGTTTTCTCTTCCATAAAATGCTCCCAGTACCCTCCTCATATCTGTTGTGAGAAGTGGTCTCAGGGGGCTCAAATCAAGTGTGCATCCTGCCTGGATTTGCTCAGAAGGCAAGAGTGGCAGGGCTAGAGGCTGGGGCTGGTACCTGGAGCTGATGGCAGGCTCCCTTCATGGTTCCTATAGGCATGATAACTATACAGTGATGGTGGGGAGTCCGTGGATTGACCAGATTACGCCCAGTAGCTCCAACATCCTGGTGCTCCAGGTCATTGTGCACAGAAGGTTCCGGTCCAAGCGGTACTGGTCCTGGATTGGCCAAGCTAACAACATTGGCCTCCTCAAGCTTCAGAAGAAGCTCAAGTACAACAAGTATGTCAGGCCCGTCTGCCTGCCTGGCCTGGACTATGCGCTGGAGGAAAGTTCCCTCTGCACTGTGACGGGCTGGGGCTCTCCCCAGGTTAATGGTGAGTCAGCTCCCTAGACCATGGTGGGGTGTGAGAGAGGACCTGGGTACAGACCACAGATGAACATTTCTGGGGCACCTTCTCAAAGGAGCCCACTGCCCCAGGGACTTTCCTTTGGGTTCTCATTTCTGATGTGTCCTTCCCCTTTGAGAGTCTAGGCAGTGAATTTATCACTGCCACTTGGGCCTCAATGGATGCGGTTTTCCTTTGAACCCTCAGGCCTAGTTCTTTTCTATTTCAGAAAGTAAACAGAACTTTCTTAATGGACTTGGGTTGGACTCTGCAGGGATCAAGGCCAGATTGGGGGATCAGCCTGTTCCAGGGTCTCTGGGTCTGGCTACTCTTGGGAAATGCTAGCTAGAGGGGCAGCTGGGCTGTGCCCAGGGAAATCTCAGTGCCTACTGTGTGCCAAACAGAAAAGTCTAGGGGGAAGGGATGGGAAGGAGCCAAGAGAGGATGGAGACAGAGCTGGTTGTAGTGGGCAGCAGCAAAGCAACCCAGCCTGAAAGCGGCCTGTCCCACAGGCTCGGGGCCCCAGTTCCAGATAATTCAGGAGAAGGAAGTTGTCATTCTGAACAGCAAGGAGTGCGATGCCTTCTACCACAGCTTCTCCAGAATCCCCTCTCTGGTTCAAATCATCAACTCCCAGATGATTTGTGTCAAGGATGGCAGCAGAGAGAATTTCTGCTATGTGAGCACCTCTGCCCCTTGCTCAACCTCCCCAGGGGCACTGGCAGGAGGCTTGGGGTGGGGGGCAGGACCTGAGGGGCACAGAGAAGAGAGAGGAGGGGAAGGGTGAGCAGGGAGAAGGGAAGGGGTATGAGAAGATGGTAGGGGGGAGGGGGATGGAGGACAGGTGGAGGATGGAGATGGAGGACCTGGTCGAGTGCGGATGGAGATGAGAGAAGGGGGTGGGGAGTGGGGAGGTGGATAGCAGGTGTTTAAGAGGTGAGGGATGAAAACCTTTGAGGAGGGTTCCTCAGTCTGGAACACTTCTCAGCTGTGTTGCACTGGGGGTGCTGAGGAGAGGACCTGGTATGCGGGACCCTGAGCTGGGTCCTGTCTCCCTCAATCATTGCCTGGCCTCCCTGACCCTTTTTTACTTCCCCCCTTCTACTCCTCCCTGCAGGAGACAACTGGCGAACCCTTGGTCTGCTCTTTGGAGGGCACGTGGTACCTGGTGGGAATGACGAGCTGGGGCCCGGGCTGCAATAAGAGCGAGGCCCCACCCATCTTCCTGAAAGTCTCCGCCTACCAGGCCTGGATCTGGGACAGCCTCATGGGGAAGTCCCTGGCCCTGCCCACCCCATCCAGAGCCCTGCTGCTGGTTCTGCCACTGCCCCTCAGCCTCCTTGCCACTCTGTGACACTCCGTGGCTCCCCTGGGTGCACCCCCCTCACCCAGCCCCCTTCCTCCCCTCCATGTCCAGAATGTACTGGACAGGTGCAGCTGTCAGTCCCCAAGGTGGAGTAGAGACAGGTGCTCTATTAAACACGTTTCCATATCTCATCTTCCCTGGCCTCTGAGGGCCTTATCTTGTGCCTGCTCTAGTGGGACACAGGTGGGCTAGATGGTATGGGGTTGAAGACTCTGGGAAATTGGTACTGACAAGTGCAGAGCCCACAGGAATCTGCCTTCCAAGGTTTGAGGGTGGCCTCTGAAGAAAGTGGGCAGGAGCAGTGATATTGGGGTTAAACAATGGAAAGCCTAAAAATGCATTGCCCAGGCTAAAACTGGGCTTAGGAACCCCCTCTAGTGTGAGGGTGCCTCTCTGCCTGGGCTGGAGGTGAAGGTGTTCATCCTGTGATACAGCAGTGGGAGTCAGGCTCTGCTTGGCTTTGGCTGTTTTCTGGCCAAACACACCCTTACATTGTTCTAAAGACCCATAGTGCATTGACCCTCCAGCCCTGTCCCCTGCCTTGAGATAGAGGCCAGTGCCCATGGGATCAGATGTTATCCCCTTCAGCATGCCATGCCTTTTTATAAAAGATTGGCAGAAGGCCCAGCTCAGAGGTAGGGCTAATGCACAACCCCCAGGCTTCACCAGACTTTGAGTGATGCCTGCCTCTGGATTTCCATTGCCTTGCCATACAGGGGCAGCCTGGCCCATATGAGGAGAATGACCATTGCTAGCCCTCCTGTATGAAAAGCCCGTAGGCTGAGCCCTGAAGGCAGAGGCTAGCTAAATGTAGCCATCTGGTGGCAGAGTGCTCAGCTTCCCGGGAGCCTTCTGCCATCTCTGTCCCCTCACTGCTCCTGAGACCCCATGCACCTTACTTGTATCGGCCTGGATTGCTCTCCTCCTTGTAGGATGATGACCTGGTCCAGACCAGGAGCGTGGACCTGTGACTCTCCAGCATAAGCTCAGACCATCAGAGGCCTATTGAAAGCCCTGGGGATGTAGTGGAGCAACACTGGGGCATCCTTGTCAACCCAGCACCTGGTGAAGCAAACACCTCCCCTCGCCAGTCCCAAGGGGGTGGGCTTGGGTGGCTGCAGCTTCCCCCTTGGCCTCTGGGCCATCTTTATCTCACCTTGATTCAGTCTGGGAGAAGGGTTAGGGAGGAACTTCAGCCTGGCCTGAGCCATCTATTATTTCCACCCTCTGCACAGGTGCCCCAGGGAAGGGGCCTCCTGAGGGGCCGTCGAAGGAGCAGTGTGCCATGCCTGCACCTGAGAAGGCGCTTAGCTTTATTTACAGATTGTTGCTGTCTGCTTTTTCAGCAGGCTGCCCAGCTCCAAAACCTCCTCGGGTGTCTCCTTAGTTTCCAAGGTCAGCTCTGAGAGCCTCAGTCTGATGTTTGCTGCCATCTATGCCTCCTCTTCCCAAGGAGTTAGTCCTCAGGTGGTGTTTGGGTCCTTGTGTTCTGGTCAGAGATGTTTCCTCTAGTGGTGGGGCGAGGTCAAAGAAGAGGCTGGGTGCTGTTCTACTCAGCAGGTGGAATACTGGTTGTAACCCTCTTGTGATTGCCTGGGGCCCCAAAACCTCCTACCATGGATAGGCAAAGAAGAGGTCCCACAATAGCTTAGTGTCCACTTTGTCTTCTCCCATGTTCCCTGGTTCCCTAGGCTGAGGCCCCAGCTTTCTTCCCTGATCTCTGGCCCATTGGCCTCAGCCCCCTGCATCTCTGTCCCACCCTGCAGTCCCCAGCCTGGAGGGGGCTGAACCCCTGGGCTTCACGGAGCCTCTTAACAGCCTCATTTCCATCACGTGGAAAACCAGTGGATCCCATGGTCCTGAGCTTGGTATCTGCTGGGCTGGGGTGGTTCTGCTTCCGGGCCACCTAAGTCCCCCAGGTCAGAACCCTACCAGGCTTGGGGCAGTTTGCTTGCCCCGAGGCTGCTGCCTGGCTCTGCACCTCCCCCAGTAGTGCCACCCCCTGTCCTCAGTCAGCCACTCCCCAACCCATTCAGTTCAGCTATCCCCTCCTGGAAATATACCTCATGTCCCTTTACTTCTTCATAGCCACAGCTACCCCTGGCAGAAAGGGTGGGACAAAGGCCAATCTAGGTAAAGAGAACAGTGAGGCCACTCTGCATCTGCAGGACAGTAGCCCACTGAGAGTGCCCGTGTGCATGGGGAAAAAGGAGGGGACTGCAGGATGGGAGACCCCACACCTGTGTAGTCTCGTCCCTGCTCCTGTTGGGCCATGAGAATGTGGCCATGACCTCGGCTTCCCCATCTGATTACAGACTCTGTGGTCCATGTATGAGCTCCGCGTTTTAAGATGCATGGGTCCTGACTTGGGCATGCGCTCCAGGGCCTGCCAGGATACCCTCCTCATTTCTCTCCTTTCTTCTTCTTGGCCTCTTTCTTCTCGTCCTCCTCGACCTTGATGGCCACTGTGTCCACACTGTCCTTCTTCTTCTTTTTCTTCTCCTCTGTAGGTGGGAACAGGTGGGGTGGCAGTGGGTGGCCAGGCCCGGGGCGCCTTTGAGAAGAAGGGCCCAGGGCCTCCTTCCCCCCACCCTGTCCTTCCTTCTTCCTTTGGAACCTCTCCTTTGTGAAATGGTCTCTTTGTTTTAGTCATCTCAATCTGAACAATTTCTGTGCTCTGGGAGAGGGCAGGTCCCCCTCCCTGAGCCTAATGTGGGTGGAGGGAAGTCAGGGTGACTCCAGGCAGGAGCACTGAGGAGATAGGGTAGCAACTGGGCCTGGGCTGGGGCCTACTCACCTCCAGGGATTTCTGTGAGCTCATTGAGGGGTGGCACAGTCTCCAGCTTGTCCGTGTACATCTTGGCTGCCTTTCGCTGCAGGTACCTGGCTTCAATCTCCTTCCGGGTCCGTGGTACGCGGCAATTGAAGACACAGCACAAGGTGATAACTGTAGGGAGGAGAGAACAGGCCTGGTGGGGGCGGAGCCTCAGACATCCAAGGAGGGGTACCCAGACTTTGGCCAGCCTCCATCTACCTTTGCGTGTCTTAACCCAGGAGACTCCAGCAGGAGGCTCAGCGTCATGATAAAAGCCCAGTGGAGCCCAGGGTTCCCAGGTGGCCTCCCGAGCAGAGCTGACTTCATGCAGTTACATGAGGCCCACGCTTAGAAATGCCCATGCTTGGCTTAATGCTCTATCGGCAAATTCTTAACTTTTGAATAAGGAGCTTTGGGTACTTCATTTTGTACTGATCCCATAAATTACGTAGTTGGTCTGTTCTGAGGGTCTTTCTGGCTAGACAGAGTACTGAAGAGAAGTCAGGGCTACATGGAGACTCAAGCCATGGCCCATCCTGCCTCTGCATCCCAGGCCTTGAGGCTGCCTCCTGTGCCTACTAGGTTTTCCTCCCCAGGCTTCTGAGAGCGGAGCCAGAATTCCCTCAGACACTGAGGACATGGCTGCATCCTCCTCAGCCACGCTGAGGAGAAGTGGGGCCCCTGCTGGCTGGAAAGGGAACTGGTAAGAGGGCCCAGACCCTGCCCAGGGCGTTCACCTTAGACCAAGTTAATCCAGGAGTGGTTTTCCGGCTGAGGGCAGCTGCACCCACGCTAGTTGGGTCAGGGCATGGAGCTGGCCTGTCTAGTGATGGGCAGGGCAGGCGAGGGCTGCCAGGACCTAGCTGGACTGAGTTTATTTTTGTAAGGCCCCCACAGTCTGACCACCTTGGCCCCAGCCCCAGGGGAGGGGATGGAAATGGTTCCTATTATAAATCAGTTGACCAGACAGAACTTCCTGGCAGACTACTGGGTGTGTGTGTGGGGGGGGGGGGGATAGAAGGGCCCAGGCAGGACAAGCCAGGCCCATTTTGGAGAAATGGATCAGACCTATGTAACCTGGGCTGGAAAACCTTCTGGGGTCATCTTGTGCAACCAAGGCAGTGTCCCTTCAGCCAACTATTATGGTCTCGCTGGTATCATCCAGCCTCACAGAATGAGAGAGGAAAAAAACAAAATGGATGAACAAATGGGATGGTCCTAAAGTCTGTTTCTGGGGACAGGACTGGGCTCCTGAATGAATGGATTGGGGGCTCAATAATATCCAGGCATACACTGGAGGTGAGGAACTGTGGCATGAGGGCCTCCGCAGTGGGTCTCCATGGGTAGACCTGAGCAGACAGCAGAACTTTTTTACCCAAAGAGCTACTCAAAGAGCCATGCTCTTGTCTTCTCCAGACCCCTTTGGGCATGCTCTGTTGGTTCCCCATCTTAACTCTACTGGCTTGGGTTACCTTTCCTAGCTACCCCACCAGGCACCCCTCAGGACCAACCCCACTCTGGCTCCATGGAGGCTGGTTCCAGGCTCTGGGAGCCGGGGCTTCAGAGGGAACTTGGCAGCCAGTTGCTGGCAGACAAGTGGACCTCACACCCTGCTCTTCTCTCCAGGCCTGCCCCACCCAGCTTGGTCTGGTGCTTCTCTTAAAAGAGGAGAAACAAAGTAGTTTGGGTTGAGTTCCAGGGCCCAGGCAGGGATTTGGGATACAATTTCAGGGGCTAGGGAGAACCTTCTCTCCCTCTGGGGTTCTAGAGGTCATGCTCCATTATCAGCTGCCTGGGCCTAAGGAGACTAGAAAGCAGGGAAGATATTTCCTCCCCACTCACGAGAGCTGTACAGCAGAGGGTAACATGTGCTGATCTTCTGCTCAGGGGCCTTCAGGACTCTCCCTCACCCTTTCTAGGACCTGGGCTTGGGGGAAGGGATATCTGTGTGGTTGATGTCCTAGTGTCTCTTTGAGTGTGATGTTGCACAATTTTCTTTCCACCAGGCTCCACAGTTCCCTTATCCTGCCCTCTGGGGCATCCCAGAGCGGCTCCCTCCACCTGCATCTACTGCTCCTGGGCCTCCTCAAGGCAGATGCCTCTTTGTGCTAAGTTTGGTCTCCCTCTCTGGATACCTGGGCTCAGGCTGCAGGCACACCTATTGGTCTATGGGGTCTCTACTAAGCTGCCTGACTGATCCTCAGCCCAGCTGGGAGCAACATGCAGCCACTTACTCAGATCAGGGAGGAGAGAATATTTGCTATCTGGAGGGTAATTTTGGTGCCAGGAGAAGCAGATGCAAATCAGATGTCATGCCTTCCTTGGAGCCCTTCACATCTGGATGGGCTCTCCATGGTCTCCTGCCCTCCAGAGACCTCCTTTGGGGAAAGCTCTGACTAGAACTTAAATGCAGCTTTAGCCTCTTCACCCAGGGTTCACTCAGTAGATGTCCCATAGGGGTTATCTGAGACCCAGCATGGGTCCATACTTCCACAAGCCTCTGCTCATACCATCTCCTCTGCATGGAATGCCTTTCCAGCTGTCCCACCTGGCAAATGCCCACCAGGCCTCCCTCTGGTCTGCAGCTCAGAGGACCCTCCTCTATGAGTCTGCAGGGGGAGTGGGCCTCCTCTCCCTTTACTGTTTGCAAATACCCGCTACCCCATGCATTGGCTCTGTGGGAACCTCCGTCAGATTCTGCTTTGTGCCTGGCACACTCTCCCACCTGGCCTGCATTTCATGCAATTTGCTGCCCACCCTCCCAAGTTCCAGACCCTCATTCCAGGAGGAGGACTGAAGGGAGCATGCCAAGCCTCTCTGGCTGTGACTTTGCATCAAGAAGTGCCCAGACCCCAGGAGAGGAAAGGGCCTCCTGCTTTGACTAGAGATGGGAGGGTGTGAGTCATTCCGGGAAATGGTATTTGACCAGGCAGGATTTGAAGTTTGGGATCCACATCTGCTAGGCGTCTGGGGAACCTCTGGTGGAGGTTGGCCTTGCTGGGGCCCCTGGGTGTGGGCCCTTTAAGCTGGCCAAACTGCAGGAAAAGCATCAGGAGGCCAGCCATAGGGGAAAATGACACGTCCTCGATTCACTGGAGCTCCCTGTAATTATTGTAATTGCTGTGTGGCTGCCTCCCTGGGTCCAGCAGAAATCTTTGGGTCACCACTGGCCCGTCAGCCCTCCATGGGGACTTTGTGTGGATCAGGAGGTGCCAGAAACCACAGCGGGCCTCCTGTGGGTGCCTGGCTTGCTTGCACTGCCCGGAATTGCTGCTCTGAGCCTGAGGGGTGGTGCTGGAGGGGCTGGGGTGCTGGGGCAGGGGAAGCTGTGCTCCTACTGTGGTGTGGTAGAGAGGGCAGGGAGCAGTTACTCACTGATGCACAGTACGAAGAGTGAAAAGATGCCCACCACGTGCCACAGGCGCATGTCCCAGAACACCACCGTCTCCTTGGTCAGTGGGGGTGGTTTGGGCTTGGGGGGTGCCGTGCTAGGCTGCGGGTCAGGAGAGAGAGGAGTGAGCCAGGCAGAAGTCATAGACTGTATGGGGCCAAGAGAGGCCCAGGTGTCAGCCATGCATATCAGAAGCCCCTAAAATCAGGTGTCTTAGATATTCACCATCAATACCTTAGACCGTGGGAAATTCCATACTTAGAACAACACAACAGAGTCCCAGGCTATGGTGCCTGGGTCTTGGAGTGGGAGGGTGGTTGATGCTTGGGGAAACCAAGGCCTAAAGGAACAAATGCAGCCAGCCTGTCCTTGCCAGGTTCAAGGCCTCTTCAGGCACCTCCTACTATCCAGTTGGAGGCCTCCCACAGGCAGCTGGGGTCTCAGGACCAAGGCCAGAGCCTAGACCAGGCCTGTATTTCACTTTGAATTGGCTTCCTTCTCCTGTCTTTCCAGTGGAGCTGAATCAGGGCTCTACTGCTCTGCCACCTCACCAGGATCCCCACTAGGTGTCCCCATACAGTTGCCTGTGCTACTGGGAGTCACTAACCAGAAGGCTCACCAGAGAGGACTAGATATGTAAATTGTCTGTAATGCAGTAGTGACACCTGGAGGCCAAAAGATGTAAGCACAGCTTAGCAGAATACAGCCAGTCACCTCCCATCTTCTCAGTGTGACAGCACCCTGCACGGAGGGTCTGGGGACATGACTGCCCTACGGTCTAGGGGACACTACCCTATCCTGGGTTTCTAGAGGACACAGTCTTATCCCAGAGTACAGGTGGACATGATCCTTTTCCAGGTGTCTAAGGAACGTGACCCTACCCTGGGTATCTTGAGGGTACATGATCTTGTCCTGGGTATCTAGGGGACATGGCCCTGCCCTAGGTGACTTAAAGGGACGTGACCTTGTCCTGTGTGTCTAGGGGATATGGCCCTCACCTGGGTGTCGTGAGGGTACATGACCTTGTCCTGGGTGTCTAGGGGACATGGCTCTCTCTTGGGTGTCTTAAAGGGCTATGACTTTGTCCTTGATATCTAGAAGACATGGCCCTGCCCTGGGTGTCTTGAGGGGTATGATGTTGTTCTGTATGTCTAGGGGGACATGGCCCTGCCCTGAACGTCTTGAGGGATGTGACCTTATCCTTTGTGTCTAGGGTACATGGATCTGTCCTGGGTGTCTTGAGGAATATGAATTTGTCCAGTGTGTTTAGAGGATATGACCCTGCCCTGGGTGTCTTGAGGGATGTGATGTTCTCCTGGATGTCTAGAGAACATAACCTTGCTCTGGGTGTCTTGAGGGGACATGACTTTGTCCAGTGTGTCTAATGATGACCCTGCTCTAGGCATCTTGAAGGGATAGGACTCTGTCCTGGGTGACCAGGGGACACAGCCCTGCCCTGTGCAATCTGAGCAAAACCTGTCCCGACTAGAAAGGGATATATATGACCATATCTCTGCCAACAGTTTGGCTGAGGGGCAAGAGTAAGGATCATGGCTTAGAGGGAGAGAGGACTCTGGGGCATCTGTGTGATATACTGTCCCCTGATTAACCCAATAAAGACAGACTTGAGGACTCCCTTTGGGCTCTCTGGGAAGGAAAGACAATCTATCACTCAACCACCCATTGACTCTTCCCCCAACCCCAACCACAAATGTGGATTGGGCACCTACCATTAGCCAAGCACTCCCTCACCTAATGAACACCACCCTTTGGCATGGGTGGGAGCCACTTGGAGAGGATCAGCAGGCTGTGATCCTCTGGTAACCCAGAGGTTGTGGGCCTGAGATTGTACCTGATCCCTGTTTTTTTTTTTTTTTTTTGCCCTTGCCAGGTTGAACTGAGGTGGGGGCTGTCTTTCCTCTGGCCCTCAGTTTCTCTACCTGTAATTGGTGTGGGGTAGTTCCAGAAGTCTCTGGGGGAACTCTCTCTACCTAACCTGATGGTAAAGATAACAAGAAGATTCCACTCCTCCACATCATCCCCTGGATGTAGGTATGAGGTCAGACAAATGCTTGAATTGGAGACCATGTGTGGGTACAGGGCACGTGTGTGGCTGGAGCACATGTGGGTATGGTCAGGCTCATCTCTGTGGCATCAGGGTCAGGGTCTTGGCAATGGCAGTGTTCCCAATATCTAAGGTCTGATGTGTTGACTTGGCTGAGCTGTATGACTGGAGGACCCAGAAGGACAGAGTCAAGTTCCCAGATTCTGAGTCAAGGCAGCGAAGAGCTCAACTCCCACATATCCTCACCCCAGCCTTGATGTGGGTGGATCTGGGCTTACACTCTCTGCACTGGGGTCTTGGGCAGAGGGTAGCAGGTAATAGCCAGGCATCGCCACATGGCAAGCCCTACTGAGGGTCTGAATTGAAGCCTGAAGGCCCTGCCTCCCTCAGAACCTCCCAGCCTGATGAGATGATGCCTGCAGGAATGGGGTGGGTGGTGACATAGACTTCAGCCCTGCACATCTCTCAAGTGCTTCCCTGGAGGGATAGGCTAGGCTTTGCTTGGGTTGTAGGCAGATGGATTCCAAATGCAATTTCCTTTGATGAGCGGGAAGAAGAGTTCCTAGAGGTGGGGAAGAAGAGTCCTTGTTTCAGAACTGACTTGATCCCTGCCCCAGCCTTCTGACTGCACCCTGGCCAGCTCAATTTCGATACTGGGGCTTTAGGGTAGCTGATAAGGGGCCATGGTGTGCTTAATGGGGCTCAAGCCAGCCTGGCTCCTCTTACAGAGACACTGGAGCTGACACCCGACTCTAGCAGGCTTCTTGGTCATACCTCCTAATCAGCAGCAGGTACGGCTGCTCTGGGTGATATCTCTGTCCCCATGCCCCCCCCCCATCATCCAGTTCAGGTCGGGTCCTTTCAGATCCCTATCCTGTCCTTCCTATCCCATCCTGTCCCCTAACACCTCCCTCAGGTCCTTCCCCGGGGGGCCTCTCTCACCCTCCGATGTTTGGTCTTTCTGTCCCCTCCAGGCTGCCCTGTGCGCACAGGCTCCATCCCTAGCTCCTCCCTGGCTGTGAGTTAGCTCTCCCTAATCTTGGGTCTTCTCTATCTGGCCTCAAGCTCCAGAATTCTAGGTCTGCTTTGCCATCTCCCTTTCTGGCTCCCCTTCCAAGCTCTGCAGGAATGGGGTACAGAGGAGACCAGAGAGGCTGCAGACTCCAGCCAGACTCCTAAACCAACCACCCCCAGCCATCCCCTTTCCTCTTCCTGGGCTATCTCAGCAAGTGCTCTCAGCTCTCCCATAATGTGCCCCCTTCTAATTTATTTCCAAACCAGAATTCATCATGACCTGCTCTCCCTCAGAAACCTTCTGTAGCTCCCCATTATCACCAGGACCCAGTCTGATCCCCGAGTTCCTAGGCACTACCTGCCCCTTCCCTCCTGAGCTTAGTGTTGTACATGGCTGCTCACAGAGGGTCTCCTCATCCTGCTGCCACCACCCTCCAGCTTGGAATGCCTTCATCTCCTTCCCAAGCCTATGCCTCCCCCAAGAGTCCCTGGAGGATTTCTAAAGCAGAGGCTGTTTCCTTTAGAATACCCTAAATTCAGGGTCTGAATCGCCCCACCAAACTAGAGGTCAAGGAAACCTAGGGCCAGGTGTATGCACCCCCCCCCACCAGGAGTTCACAGATGGGAAGATAGGGCTGTGTTCCCTGTGACACTGGGCAGGGCTGTGTCCCCAGCTGGATTAGGAATCCCTCAGATTAGGGTGAGACTCCCCTATCAGACTGATGTTCAGGAATTCAGAGGCCAGTGACCTCCCGAGTGAGGGCCCCCAAGTGAGGGCTGAGTCTCCCTCAAAGTCTGGCAGCCATCGGGGTGGGGCGATCCACCCATTAGGCCAGGTCTCCTAGGGCAAGAGAGATGGATAAAATCACCACCCCGCACCCCATCCCTGCACGGTGACGGCCCCCCGTGCCCTCCGCGATGCTGTGCCTCACCTCCACCAGCTGCCCGGCGACCCCCGAGAGGCAAAAGCCCAGCGCGGCGCCGCCCATCGCCCAGAGGGGCCCCGCGCCTCGCCGCCGCCGCCCCGCCATCTCCTCCCGCCGCGCGAGCTCCGCTGCAGATCCGGGAGCGAGTGGCAGCGCGGAGATGCCCGGTGACCGCCCCCCGGACAGCCGGCGCTTGGGGACCTTGGCGGCGAGCTCTGGCCACCCCGGGCATCATTTATTCATCGTTGGCGTCAGGTTCCTGGGCGGCAGCCCGCACCGTCATTGTGAAGGGGAGGGGAGAGGAGTGGGGGGGAGACCAGACTCCAGACCCCACAACCCGACCCTGAAGTGGGGGTGTAGGGGAAGCGGGGAGAGGGAGGAGAACAGGCTGAGAGCCCATCCTTAATCAACAGGTGTTCCGGCCCTTTCCCATTTGGCCTCAGTTTCTCCATCTGGTCAGGGGGAGGGACAGGAATCTGCTGATCTACTAGGCCCTTCCCATTCTGACGTTCTTGATTTGAAAAAAAAACATACTGGACTTGGGTTGGGGGGGGCAAAGCGGGCATGTTGCCATGGTGACAGGCACTCAGGGATGTCCTGGGCTTTCTGGGCTGGCTTCCTGCCCAGAGGCAGCTCTGGTCACCCTGGACACCAGAGCTGGAGGAGAGAATGGAGAGCAGGGGATGGCATGGTCAGAGCCACCAGCTGCTGGTGCAGTGGAAGGTTCTGGAAGGAATCAGTACCTTATATCCCACAGATTAGGGTGGGCTACCCCTGGAAGGGCTGGAGGGCCATTGTCTAACCATGGTTGACTTACAGCTTCTGCCCCAGCTAGATCCTTGACTCTGACTTTAAACCTTGACCCTGACCCCCCACTGAAGTTAGCCCACACTGCACTCTGGTTCTGATCCCACACTGGGCCCTGACAACTCAGTGGTAGAGGGAGGTTCTGAGGAGCTGTGGAGTCCTGGGGGAGAGGAGTAGGGAGTCCTGGAGTGGGGAGACTCCTCCTCACCCTTCCTCCTTTTTCTTTCCATTACTATTTATCTCCTGCCTACTTGGTTCTAGGAGAAGCAGCTCAGGTCTCTTATCATCAAGGACACCAGTGCAGACCTGCCTAGGCCAGGGGAGAGAGGGGGCTGGTTCCCCTCAGCAAGGCCTGCCCTCACAACTGGGGACTATGTGCACCCAGAGTCTCTTGGGGCTTCACTCTAGGAGTGCCATAGATGGAGGATGCTAGTGTTAGAGTTATTGCTGTCACTTATATGGTGTACCATATAAAAACCAAACAATTCCTGGTTCAACCAATGCTTGGATGTTTTGGTTGTTTCCAATTCTCCAACACAAGTTTCAACAGGGAGCAGAGGGTCAACAGCAGACATCTGTATGTCAGGACTTGTAGATGAAAGGACAGGCAGGAAAATGGACAGCTGGCCCAGGGGACCTATTGAGGAGACCCTTAACAATGGGTGAAAAGTCTGGGGGACAGAGTGGGCTGGGCTACTCCACCCAAATCAGGCAAACCCTGGCCAAAACAAACAGGAATTCCTCTGAAGCCCAAATTACTGGTGACAGCTCTCTGGCCCCCACTTCTTCAGGCCATCAGCCACAGGCCAGGCTAGGGAAAGTCAGCCAAGGAGGTCACCCTTGGGGCATAGGTTCAGAGAGGCTGAATTGGGTCAGGATTAAGTGAGCCTGTCTGTGGCACTGGGCAAACCATTACTCTTCTCTGCCTCTGTTTCCTCATCTGTGAAATATGGAGGACAAGACCCATCGCAGGACTCATGTGAGGATGACATGAACTCCTGAATTCACTCTCCTTGGTGGGACACACAGCTCTCTGCAGTTTACAGGGTTCCCATTTGCATTTGCAGTTCAGGGAGAGGTGTTAACAGTTTTCTCTGTCCATCAGGAAGTAGGGCAAGCCAGTAAAGAAATCTGAACAGGAATACAATCATGTGTGATCCTGCTGTTCCCAGAGATGTCACTGTTCCTTGTAGATTCCACTTCTCTGCAGGGTCTGGAACCTGTGTTATCACAGTGTGTTATCTCATAAGCCTTTGTTCCAAAGCTTTTGGGAGGGGGCAGGGGTTGTACTGGGAATTGAACCCAGTAACACTCGATCATTAAGTCACATCCTCAGCTCTTTTTTTAAATTTCTTTAAAAAATTTTTTTTTAATTGTAAATGGATCTTTTTATTATTATTATTTATATGTGGTGCTGAGGATCAAATCCAGGCAAGTGCTCTACCACTGAGCCACAACTCCAGCCCCATTCTTTCTTTTTTAAATTTTGAGACAGGACCTTGCAAAATTACTTGAGTCTGTCTGGCTTTGAACTTGTGATCTTCCTGCCTCAACTTCCTGCATCACTGGGATTACAGGCATGCGCTACTGTGCGTGGCTGTATTTGAAGCTTTTTACCCAACACAAGCACCCCGGATCGCTTGTCCCAGCGTATGCGCATGCACACAGAATCAAATATAATATTATCGCATAGGCTTCAAAGTCAAACTGACTTCTGAAAGCCTTGTTATGGTTTTAAGCTTTAATAACCTTAGACATAAAGCTAAGAATTTATAAGAAACCATTTGAAAGTTTAATTATTTAAATTTCCTTTTTCTTTTTGCCCCAAGAAGGCAAAAGTTGTCAAAAAAAATTGTAAAAGTTATTCAGAGTTCACAAAATCTAATTAACATAATGAAAATTTAAATAATTCCAAATTACGTTTCTTGCAAATTCATGGCTTTATTCTTCACAATTTCTGAAGGTATTAACTTTAAAACTGCACCAAGATTTCTGGGAAAGATTACACAGCTGTGAACTCTCAGTGAAGCTTAACCTGGAACGAGGCCTCTGCTCTGAGCCCTCTGAGCGTCAACCCTTATATATAACATAGGTATAATTACAGCACCTTGGCACCTGCATATCATAAGCCTTTGGAGGATGCTAGTGTTATGATTATTGCTATCACTTATATGGTGTACCATATAAAAACCAAACAATTCCTGGTTTAACCAATGCTTGGATATTTTGGTTGTTTCCAATTCTCCAATATTAAATATGTTGAATAAACTTCCTAAAGTTTAAAGCTAAAGTCTTTGAGGGATTTTCAGCATTTGATGTGATTATTAGTGTCCTCTGTTTTCTTATGAAGAATTAAGCCCAGAGAGGAGCTGGGCCCTGTCTGAGTTCAACAGGAGATTGGGCCTTCATCTCAGTCTTCTGCCTCTAACACAAAGCTCTGCCTACTTCCCTGGGCTGTTCTGTTCTGTTCTTTTTTTTTTTTTTTTTTTTGTTCTTTTTAAAAAATGCCCCAGAACCCAACCCCTAGTTGAGTCCATCAAGTCTAGGGAGGGAAAGCTCTGGATCCCAGATTCCCCAGCCTGGTTCCCAGAAGACAGTGTCCCCTCCCTAGAACACAGTGTCCCCTCCATACATGGTGATATGAATATTGGCCTGCATGATATGCGCGGCCTTCCTGTACTATTTTTAGCTCATGTGGGTTTCCTGCAGTGACCCATTCCAGCCTCCAGGGCCTCTGATTTGGAAGCTCTGGGCAAGGCAGTGGGTAGTGACCAGGGAACCCAAGTAAATAGTTCTCTCCTGGAGCCTGAAACCCCTGGGATGGAGGTTGATTTCTAGGGAAGATGTGGGTAGTCACAGAGGCATGCTGGGATCCAGGGCATCATGGACTCAGCCTGGGATAGGGGTTGGAGATGGATGGCCTAGGCCTGTGACATAGGGGCTGGGGCCTGCTGAGAGGTGGCTGCCTCTGTACTTGTTGGCCCAGGGCCTGGCCCAGAATAGCTCTGAGGCTGAACTGGGCCAGGTCTGGATCAAACCTGCATGCTCATGAGCTTATGCTTGTGTGTCAAGAACCTAACATACAGGAGAGTGCCTGCATAGTGCACATAGCTCTGCCTGTTTTGGGGTGTTAGTCTCTGTGTCTCCAGAATCATAGGCACCACTGATACATGCATGTGTGTCCTCTAAAGCAGTCAGTTTCAGTCTGTGTCATTGTAGATGAACACATGATTTGTACACGTGTGCCCATAAATGGAGCTGCCACTACAGAGTTGGGCAGCACAGCAGTTTGCCAGTGGATTTAGCAGTGGATGGGTCCACATGGCACCACATCCCCTGACTGTGGAATTGTGTGTGTGTGAACATCTGTGAGGGGATAGGCAGAGGCACTGTGTTGAAAGGGGCCACAGGCAGGTAGACCCAGTGGAGCCTGTCTTGGGGCTCACAGGCCTTGTCTGGCCCCAAGCCAAGGATGAACTTGGAGAGACTGGTTAAGTCTTGCCCCTCTTGGCAGATGATAACAGTGGGTTTGCAATGCCTGTGAGATTGCCCAGGAAGTTGAGGAAGACTGGTCTCCAGTCCAGGGCTCAGCCTTCCAATCTCCCTATGTGGCTGAACAGGAAGTCTACACTCTGAGGAGGAAGCTGAGAGAGCTCTTCTACTGGAGACCAGGAAGCAATGCCCTCCCTCAATACATGTATAGGCAAGGAAACTAAGGCCCAGAGAGGGGAGGGGCTGACCCAGAGACACCTGGCACACACCAGGTCCTGCTCAGGGCCCTGCCCCATCCACCCCTTTTTCACAGATCATCAGGTCACTCACTCCTCATGAGGTTATAGCCACTCTCTAGTCCTTGCCCTCTCCTACAAGCCCCAGAGACCCCTGCCTGCCTGTACCCATGTCCTAGGGGACTTGTAGACCCACTAAAAATCTTACTCATCTAGAATCTGACATGCCTTCTGGCAGAGTCCCACATAACCCTGTAACAGAGTAGCCCATGGCCATACAGCAAGAAGAAAGTAATGCAAGTTTTCCCACACCAAGCCTCTTTCCAGAACACTCCTGTCTCCCACATGGGGGCCCACAGATAAGGCCTTGGAGGCCTGTTTAGAACTTGAAGCCTCAGTTTATTTCCACCTGCTGGGCTGCTGTTCCACCTGGCCATGCTGTAGACTCAGGGAGACCCTGGGGCAGGCCCCTGCCAACCACTGGCAACACCCTGAGGCACACCTGACTAATTCCCTGAGATAGGTGAGCAGCCTAGGCAGGGCCTCCTTGTTTGGGGAGGGCTCTTGAGGATGAGGACCCAGGACAGCAATATGGGAGCAGAGGGTAGGGTCCCTGGAAGCTTGTGGGTCACCCAAGGCAGGGATCCCTCCAAGCCTGAGAGTATTATAGCTTGGCAGAACTTTAGGTCTCATCTAGAAACAACCCAAGGAAGCCAGGGTAGCTGGGGTTGGCAGGCTCCATGCCCCAAATTACCTCCAGTAGGGTCTCTCTTCAGCCTGGCTGGATAGGAGATCCTGCCACTTACTGTCTCAGACTTGAGTAGGGGGCTGGTGAGTCATCCTTTCTGCCCTCCCACAGCCCACCTGTAGACTCTAGGCCTCTTTGCTGTGTTCATGGCTCTCCGAAAGGGCAGAGGTAGCTCAACAAGGCTGGTCAGCCCGTGGAGCTCAGCCACTGAAGACAGAGGGGAACCAGGCAGCAGACGGAAGATTTCTGTTACAGGTTTGAACCACAGCCCTCCTCCTCCAGGAAGATCTGTCGTGACTAGTCTTCCCTCACATTTTTCAAGGTCATAGGCCTTGGCTTCAAAAACTGCGGGCTAGCTCACCGCTGTACGGGAAGTGGGGGCAGGGGACCTTCCCCAAGGTCGCCCAGACAGGAGTAGTGGCGGGAGGACGCCTAGCTCAGTGGCTCGCTTGCATCCTCTCTAGGCTCAAAGTTTCACGAATCCACCCAGTGCTCCGCTTGGGGCGACCTTGGGGACTCAGAGCGGGTCAACAGTGTCACTGGGCTGTAAACCGGGCTGCAGAGAGCCAGAATCCGTGGGCGAGGAAACCGTAACCGCCTCCGGAACTCTGCCGGCCGTCCTCGGAGTCTTTGGAGGAGGCCAGGAGAGGCGGGAGAGGCGGGCCAGGGTGGGCACGTGGGGTGCGAGAGGGGCGGGCGCAAGGCCAGAGCGGGGCGCCACCTCCGTCGGCGCCGCCTGACACCTTCCGAGCCCAGCAGTCGCCGAAGACCAGGCGAGAGACCCCTGGCGCAGGTAGTTGGGACACCGGCCCCGCCTCCCCGCGAGCCCCACCCCGAGCCCCTCCCCTGGAGGGGCGGGGCCGGCTGCGGCGTGCGGGCTGCGAGGAGCTGCGCCGGTTCTCCTGAGGCGCCCGCCCCGCCAGGTAAGGGCGCGGGTCTGGGGGCGGGGTCCGCTTCGGAGCCTCTGCTTGTCGGGGTGGGTGCCCTCGAATCCCCTGGCCGCTAGGTCGCGGTCCCTGCGCGACTCTGACTCCTGCTGCGTTCACACCCGGGCAGTCCATCCAAGTTTGTCTGAAGATCCCCCCAATCTCCGCCCCAGCGAGGTTTCTGGAGATGTAATACCTGCCTCGTGGCCACCCGGCTCCGGATTAGGGACAGGGCGGGGACAGCCCCACGGGGCCGAGCACAGCACAAGCACAGTGTCCAGGGCCCTGGCCAGGACTGTTTTGCAGGAGGCTGCCAGAAGGAGGTGATACTGGCTGGCCCCCGGGCTGAAGGGCCTAACAGAGAAGCTGAGATGGTGGTGTTGCCCGCCTGGGAACCGTGTGGACAAATGCACGACGGCTGGAACAGAATCGTGAAACTCCAGTGACCTGAGTGTGCCCGGACAGGCAGAGGAAGGAGAGCTGGACTGCAGAGCCAAGAGACTTCCAGAGCAAGAAGCTTGGAGCACCGAGGGCGGAGGACAGGTGCTGCTGGGAGAGGAGGGGGTGGAGATTGTGAGTGGCAGGTGTGACAGTTCCCTGCACTTCCCTTGGGCAGTCGCTTTCTGTACTGGGGTTGCTGGTTGATTAAGGGGCCTCCAGGCCAACCCAGGAAAAGGCCTGCACAGCAGGCAGAACAGCCTGCCTATCCAGACCAGGAAATACCAGAGTGAGTGCCATGACAGGGTGCGGCTAAGGGGCCTGAGGAGCCAGACCTGGGAGAAGGCAGGGCAGCCCAGGGACCCTGCTTGGAAGCAGGTTGGTGTGGACAGAGGCCAGGAATGCGGAGAGCCAGCGAGCCACAGGGGCAGTAGTTGATTCACCTGTGCATGCCAGGACTGGCCAGTTTTGTCCTGACCCCACCCCATCAAGTCTTCTGGGGACAAAACACCAGGCTGGGCCTGCCAGGAACTCACTGTGTGCCTTGGGTGAGTCACCCAGCCTCTCTGAGCCACTTAGCTTAGGTGAGCTTGGTGGGGTAGGGAATCAGAGGCCTGGGTCTGAGCCTTGTAAGTGCTCTACAGGGTATCTCTGGACCCTCCCATCTTTCTTGGGCCTCAGTTTTCCCATCTAGAAATCCTGCATAGCCTGCAGCTGAAGAACCTTTGAACTGGAGGGAGGGAGAAGGTGAGGAGGTCATGCTCTTGAGCAGAAAGGTGTGGAATGGGTGGTAGGGCTGGGGCTGGGGAGGGGAACTCTCCTGTTTCACCCCCCTCAAGTTAAGTTTTAGCCCCTCCTCCCCTGCGGATGCACACACTCATGCACATTCATGCCTGGCCTCACCCTTACCCTCACATCCTTATCATAACTTCCAGGATGAATCTCAAAACTCCCTGGCCTGAGAGTAGGGCCTCTCCCCTAGGAGCCACCACACCAGGCTCCCAGCCCCCAATGCAGCCCTCCTCCACCCACCACCTCATGACCGTGCTTAACTTCTGCCCTTTCCTCTGCTGTATGACTCGCTTTCCCAGAGTTAGAGATCCATTTGTGGCCATGGGCCTAGAAGGGTGTCCAGAGTTAGTGGCTATCAATTTGAGTCTATAGTGATTTTTGGCTACTTTGGGGAGTGAGGAGCTGAGGACAGGCTCCCCACACTCAGTGAAACTTTGCTCCACACTTTGTAATTTTGAGGGGTGACTAGTTTGGACTGGGTAGAGAAGCCTGTCCTGGGGGAGCAACTGAGGTCTGTGTCTTGCATCAGAGTAGTTCAAGGCCAGGGGGATAGACTATCCATTCCATTTTTTTCTGGGAACATGGATGAGGGTCATGTGGGCCCAGGACACATTTGCCAATCCTGAAATCCCTGACTGGGCTCTCCTGGTCTGCCTGGAGCCCCCTATGTCCCTGGGACTGGGGCTGCCACAGAGACCGGCAGAAGTGGCTGCAGCTGGCTGTCTAGTTGCTTCCTCTTCCTGCCTCTCCCTCCCGAAGCCTCACCCTCCCAAAGCAGCAGCAGCAGGAAAGGTGGGGCAGGAATGCCTAGGCCAGGCCCTGGGCCAGAGTTCTGAAGCACCCACACAACTCTGCTCCAGAGCCAAATCTGCCGGAGTCCTAGGCTCTACCAGGGCCTGTGACACCTCATGGCATCCTTGGGGTTGGTTGGGGAAGGTAAGACCCCTTCCCATTTGCCCTTTTGGGTCTGCCCATCATTGACTCCTCGGATGATGTCTCTTACCCCAGGTCTGCCAATTCCAAAGCCTCAAAGGGTCAGGACCAGGGAGAGAGGCAGTCTGAGGCCTTGGGCCAAAAGGCCCTCTCCCTTTCTACCCTGACGTACTGGACCAGGTTGTTTGGGCAGATGAACTTCTTTGCTGGGTGAGGGCATCAGTGTTTGGTGGGGGAAGGCTTAGAGGCCACAGTGTGGCTGTGGGGATTGGTTAAGGCCAGGACCTCCCACGGCCTCTCCCTCCAGCCAAGACACTGCATTCACAGGTGACCCCTGCTTGCTTGGAGGCCCTCCCTCCATGCAGGGAGCCTTAAGGCTGAAGCCTACCTATTTGTCTACTCCAGCAGCTCCCACCTCTTGAGTGGGACCTACCCAGGAGGCTCAACCTGTTTGGGGGGGCAAAGAGGGTCTGGGCTCTTCTCCATGCTGACCTTTCTCATTGCTGAGCACCATCTCTGCAACTATCACCAAGTTCATCTCCCAAAGTGTGACTTTGGTCCTACCACTACATTGTTCTGAGTTCTCTGTGGCTCTCTGCAGTTTACAGAGGTAAAGTGAGGTTCCTCTGTTGGTCAGTTAGGGTGCTGCTTGGTGGGCCACCTTCGGAAGCTGGATTGCACTCTCATGTTCTTCAATCTATGTGTTGTGTTCTATCTTCTTCATTTCTTACCCATCTGCCATGGCTCCCTTGTTCTATCAGACCTTTCCTGGCTTATGTAACACTGTTGGGTGACAGGGAGCCCAGAGCCATGGCCTCAAGGATAAGATTTGGCTCCTTTGACAACATGTCCCTGTTTTTAGAGATGGCAGCATCCCTCAGTAGAAAGGTGGCTAGGTCAGAGCACCACTACATAGGACCCTGGGCACTTGGGATCCATGGCTGGTGTCTGAGCAGGGAAATGAGCTTGAAGAGGACGTGCCCTTTTGGGTAGAAAGGGATGCTTCCTTGGGCAGCTGAGCCCTCTCTCCCACTCCTTCCATCCCCCTAAGCTTGCCCAGTCCTAGAATAGGGCAGACATCAGTGGCCAGTTCAGAAAGCCCTTGAGATGACCTGTGCTCCTGGCAGTCCTGCTAATCCTGTCTGGCTCTTATCTGTGCTCTACCTAGGAGACCCTGAAACCAGCACCCTGGTCATGTGCGGCCCTGAGGAGGCGGCCCTGCTGCGGCTGGAGGAGGTCTTCTCAGCCACTCTTGCCCGCATCAACAACCTTATTCTCCAGCCTCTGCTCTCCACCGGTGAGTCTAGGCACTCTGTGGGAAGGGCAAGGGACATAGGATGGCCCCAGGGACAAGAGGTCAACCTTGTTGCACCCTCTGAACCAACCGTAGTTTTCTCAGTATGAAATGGAGTAGTGACTCTTGGTATCTTTTGAAAGAACTGGAGTCCTTGCTCCTAATTCCTACAGGAGTCCTAAGAGGCCAGACCATGACCCTAGGTTGAAGCCTACATCTTTCTGTGCATAGAGATCAAATTCCTTTTCTCCCAGGGCATAGGCCTGGAGATGACCCTCTGCCCCGGTTTTCATCTTGTTCCCACCCAAGGGTGCCTGCCCTGATGAGAAGGCAGATGCCTGTTTGTTGTTGTTTATGGACCTTTATTTATTTATATGTAGTGCTGAGAATTGAACTCAGTGCCTCACACATGCCAGGAAAGTGCACTACCACTGAGCCCCAGCCCCAGCTCCCAGATGCCTGGGTTTTACTTCCATCTTGAGTCTTACTTGCTAAGTGACCTTGGGCAGGTACCTTCCTCTTGGGGCTCTCTTTATGAAATGGCCCAGGAGTGACTGCTGACCCTATAGACTCCACATTATGGATGTGAGAAGTCCTGGGGAATTCAGAGACTCAGGGAGAATTAGCATATTCAGTTTCCTGGATTCTCAGGGTTATCTTGATTAGTGAGGAGATAGACATATCCACTCCTTGAGGGTGCTCTGGGCTGCTCCAGCCTGCCCTTCCCCTGATGAGCTCTAGAGGGCACTAATCCTGTCCCAGGACCCCAGACATGCAGGACTCTTCTACAGCACAGGGCTCTGTCCACTGCTCACAGAGTGACTGTGCTCCCTCCCCAGATCCAGAGTCTTCAGATCCCCAGGACAGAGAATGCCTGCGGCTCCTTCAACAGCTGCACAAGAGCTCCCAGCAACTGGGGGAGGTGACTGAGGAGAGTCTGTACTCCCTGTGGGAGAGGCAGCGCCACCCGCGCTCCTTTGGCTTGGAGTCCCTGCTGCTGCTGCGCAGTGCTGACCTCGTCGTGCAGGTCCACATGGAGTAAGACCACCAAGACGGCCTTGGTGTCAGAGTACCCCCTGGCATTAAGGCTCACCTGGGGTGGGGCTTACCTGGGCTTGGATGTTTGCCTGATGGTGACAGGCTTGGACACTCGAGAAATGAGCCCTGGGGCCTCACTGGGAACAAAACTGTGAGTCAGCTGTCTTGTGGGTGAGGACTGGAGGTCACCCGTGCCCAGAGCCAGACCCTAAAGGCATAGCTACTCCAAGGGTGGCATTTGTGGACCCCACAGGGTGGTGGCTTGGGTTTGGAGGTGGAGGCTGAGCTTTCAGGGTGTGCCCCTGTGCTGTCTGCAGGTACATCGAGTCCTACACGAGCTGTTTGGTGGTACAGGCCTTTCACAAGGTGGCAAAGAGCAAGAGGTGAGCATAGGGCTGCTACTGCAGAGGACCCTGGGGTGGGTGGGGTGTCCCCATTGCCATAGCAGCAGGTAGCACAGCCCACCCCTCATCCTGAAGGACTCCTGCTCTAACAAACCTACCCAATGTACAATGGGAGAGAGAGAGAGGGCTGGTGAGGCCAGGAGCAGAATCCAGACACCCACTTTTGAGGGTAGCTCTGGGGCAGGAAAGGAGGGTGTTCCTACTCAGAGTGGATGATTGTAATTGGGATCCTTTCCCAAGCTGAGCTGCTACTACTAAACCCAGGAGAGGCACCTCAGGCACCGTGTTGGTCTGATAGAGTAGAGGTTTGGAGTCTGGGGCTGGCCCTGGTATCTGGGGGAGTAGTCCTGGCAGGGAGGTGATGGAGGTGGGTGTGGGAATGGAGGGTTGGGTGAAGGTGGTGTGTGACTCTCTCTACACACAGTATGTACTGGCGTGGACGACAGAAGGTACTACGGCAGATCCTGACAGGCATGGGTTGTGAGGGCTCCTTGGGCACCACACTGGCCCAGGCCCTCCGCCAGCCCCTTACCCAGCACGTGCAGCAGTACGTGCTCTTCCTGCTGAGCCTCAGGGACACCATCGGGGAGGTGGGTATCAGGGGATACTGTGGGGAAGCTGAGGGAGGCGAGAAGCAGGGCCCAGGCTCAGGGGACCCCGATGACACTCAGGGACCTGAGTTTAAGAAAGACCCAGGCAAGCTTAGGGTTTGGAGGGAACTTAGCCCTGCCCTGGGGAAGGGGTTTGAGAACGTGGCTCTGCTGTAGGGATTTTTAATGGGTCACAAGCCAGCCCTGGGGTGTCTGAGGCATGTGACCCTGCCCTGGGGGAACCAGAGAGAATTGTGGGCTGGTATGAGGACACATGGCCCTAGGGCCACTCTGGTCCTGACTCCTCTGGAAGCACCTTCATACCCTCTCCCCAGTAGAAAACTGAATTGTCAGAGAGAAAAGGACAGTCCTTGGCCTGGGTTCAGGTCTCTGACCAGCCTCGGTCAGGACGGGGCCAGTATGACCATCACAGGTGGAGGACAGTTCCAACAAGCCTCCTATACCCTCATTGTCTGCTCTGTCCCACTGCAGCGTCACCCTGCCCAGGAGCTGGTGATGCATGCAGTCACCGTCTTCAGGAACCTGCAATCTTTCATGGGTCAGGCATTGGACCAGGCTGTGGCCACACAGGCTCTCTGGCACACCCTGAGTAGCCAGCTGAGGGTGAGTTTGGGGCCTGAGGGGTGGCAGCGAAGGGGTTTCTGCATTGGACATAGGGACAGGGCCGCTGGGTGGCTTGAGCTGCTTGCTGCATGCTCCTTGCCTATTTCCCAGTCTAGAAGCTGGGTTGGTGGGGGAACAAGGTGCTATAAACCATCTTCATCCATCTGCTAAGCAGCTCCTGGGCTGGCCCTGCCTGGCTCTGGGGAAAGGTGGTCAGCAGAATGGACTCTCTCCAGTGTGTCACCAATCACACCTCTGTGCCCCTGCCACTATGTCATGGGCTGCCTCTGCTAGAAGGAGAGACCCTGTGCCCTGAGGGAGTGGCAGACGGGGGCCCAGTATGGAGCATTATAATAGGGGACAAGAGCTACTGCAGGGAGTCAGGGCTTGAGGGTAGAGTGACCTGTGGCCCAGGGGTGGGGTGTGGGAGAGGACACAGTGAAGCTTCAGGAGAGAGGCCCTGCTGCGCTGCTGGGAGAGCCCAGGAATGACCACGATCGCAGAGCCCCAGCACTGGTCACTGAACCCAGGGTCACTCCAGTCCACTACGGGAGGCCTCTGGAAGGAGTCTGGGCAGCAGCAGCAGGGCAGGGGTGCTTCATCCTTGCTCCTCCTTCCTCGCCTCTCCAGGATGTGCTCTGCACCCCTACCCACCGACTCCTGCAAGACAGCCAGGACGTCCCTGTGGTGGTCACCCCTCTGCGGGCTGAGCGTGTGCTGCTCTTCGATGATGCCCTCGTCCTGTTGCAGGTTGGGGTGGGGCTGACCCCAGTGGGGTGCTGGAGTCTGGTTGAAAAAGGAGTGGGAAAGGGACAAGCAGCTGAGACTGAGGGCATGGACTTGGGAAGGGGAGAGAGACAGAAAGGCCAAGGGCTGAGGAGGGGCGCTTGGCCAGAGCCATCGCTGATGGAGGGGCTCACCGGAACGCTGCCAAGGTGCGTCCGGCTTCAGCCGCCCCTCTGATGCCTTGGTTGAAGCTTTCACTTTGGCTTCCCCGTAGGGAAAGTGGGCATTGTTGAGAGTAAGTGTCTACTTAGTTCCCTTCATACTCAAGAGAAGATCCCCAGGGGAAAGACTGGGTGAGGAGGCTCCCAGGGAAGAACCCTGCAGAAGCAGCTCTGGGGCTCTCGACATTGCAAAAGTCAGGAGGGAGCTAGACCTGGGTTTTGGTAATTGTTACATGGCAGTAACCTTGACCCAACTCATATTGCCTTTGTGATATCCATGGCACTGTCCCCTTTGTCCTCAGAATGTCAGCATGGAGCTCCCCTTGCAGACAGGGAAGCCGAGGCCTGGGAGGGATGCTACTTGCCCAACCCCAGCCCTGTCTCCTGAAGCCTGGTTTCGGACTTAGTTTGTGTATGCGTTGCCCCTGACTTCTGTGTGCCAGAGATGTTGCCCCTAACTGAGCCAGACTTTTCCTCCCCTGAGCCTTTGCATATGTCATTCATTGTTGCTGCTGGACCTTCTCTTTTCCTTGGCATGTGCCTGCATACTCCTTTTAGCCCTCATCCCTGGACTCCTGCTCCTCCTCTTTCTGGCCATGGAGCCGTGAGTGGCCTTCCTAGACCAACTGGGAGGTCACAGGACAGACTCTTCCCAAAGGAAGGGACTTTCTAATTCAGAGCAAGAAGGCCTTCCAGGTAGAAGGAACAGCATGAGCAAAGTTCAAGAGTGAGGAGAGTTTGGGGCCAACTAAGGGCCGTGTGATGGTGGCATGGTATGATGCTAGGTTTGGAGAGGGTGAGGGCTAGGGCCACAAGAACCTGGAGTGGTCTCTGGGAACTTCCACGTTAGGCTCAACCGTGGGTCTCCAACTCCCAGGCAGGAGAACTCAGAGACCCTTCCAGCAGGGGCTGACAAGGTCCAGGCTGTATTTACAGACCACTCTGATAGCCACAGGGGAGAGGGAGGCTGGTCCTGGGTATCTGGCCAGGCCCTGAGGCAGGAAAATAAATGGAGGAGCTACCCTGAGAAGAGGAACAGACTGCACAGAGAGAGATTCAGTGCTGGGCATGCTGCACCAAGCAGCCTGGAGCCACCCAGGTATTCATGCATAGGGCAACCTGAGCAGAGGGCAGGTGAGCACCTGTCCATCTTCTTCCAGGGCCACAATGTCCATACCTTTGATCTGAAGCTGCTGTGGGTGGATCCTGGGCAGGACAGGTGAGCACTCCCCTCTGCTGACACCCCTGATCTTCCTTCCCTCCACTCCCTGACATATGTCCACACCTTAGGACCTCCCCCATGTCCTCCTGGACGGAACTGGGGCCTATTCATCACCTCTCTCTGTCTAGGTACACGTTCCACCTCCTCACACCAGAAGAAGAGTTCTCCTTTTGTGCCAGGGACCCCCAGAGCCAGGTGAGTGGGGAGAGCTGCGACCTGGGGGCTGGGAAAGGGAGGACCCTTAGAACAGGGACCCGAGGTGATCCCTGCCCTCATCTCTTCTAGTCTCCTGGGCACCCCTGAGGGAGCAGACAGGGATCTTGGTCTGGGAGGGCTGCAGGCGACAGCGAGGAGCAGCAGGTGGAGGTGGGGGGTGCAGCCTGGAGCTGCCCCAGAAGCACCCGCAGCAGTGGCCTGTCCTTGCTTCCCTGTCCCCACCAGGTGGTCTGGCAGTGGAAGGTGACCCAGGCCGTGTGCCAGGCCCTACGTGGGAAGAAAGACTTCCCGGTGCTGGGGGCGGGCCTGGAGCCATCAGAGCCTCCTGTCTGCCGCTGCGGAGCCTACACCTTCCGCGCTGAGGGCCGGCTCTGCCAGGCGACCTACGAGGGCGAGTGGCGCTGGGGCAGGCCCCACGGCAAGTGAGTGACCGCACTCTGGGCTGGACCTGGCAGGGGCCTGAGGGCCAACGGGACCCTGGTGGACCTCGCAGCCTCCGGGCTGTGTGTCCATGAGTCTGTTCTATTTGCCCCTCAGAGTTTCTCTTAAGTCCTCTTGAGTAGGTCCTGGCCTGCAGTAAGTCTGTGCCAAATAAAATCTCAATGGTGACATTGGAGAGCAAGGGCCTGCCGCCAGGGGCCTGGCCTGCAGGGGCTGCAGTTGCCACTGCTTCTTAGGAGGGTGGGCGAGTAATTCTCCTGTCTACACAGCTCTGTCTGGTGGTGACCAAGAGGCCTGACCACCTTCTTGCTCCACAGGTCCTTTTGAGGACCCTCTGGGCAAGAGTTTTCACTCATTTTATAGGTGCAGAAACTGAGGCCTATGGTCCCTGGCTTTGCCACAGCTGGGGAGACTTTCCATCTGGGGTTGAAGAAGGGACCCAGAGAGGAGAAAAGACTCATAAAATTATTCTCTCAAGCATAGCCATAGTTTCTAATACACTACCTCCTTCTAGAAAGAGCTGAGGGGCTTATGAACAAAGAGACCCCCCCACCAAAAAATACAAAAACACAATCAGTACTCTATCCGAAGAAGGGAGGAGGGGGGCCAATGCCCCACTGACTAATAATGTTTAGCTTGAAGTTGAAGTTTAGCTCAGAGCTTCCTGTTGGTCAGGGCAGAGGGAGCTAGATGTTTCCAGGAGTGTCGTGGGAGGTGCCCATGAGGCTGCTGGTGCCGTTGAACAGGAGTGGAGAGAGCGGAAGGGGTGTTCTGGGCGGTGGGGGTGGGGATGGGGGACTACTGACCATCCCCACTGATCCTCCCTCTCTGGTTTTGTCTGCACATAGGCTGTACCCCCGCTCCATCTTCCTTCCATCTACCTCCACCAAGGTGGAGGGCATGGGGGGTGTCTTAAAGCAGAGACAATAGGGCTGGGAGGAGGTGGAGTCTAGGCGAAGGGAGATCCGGGGGCTGTGGGGAGGGTCGGCCTCTTACAGAGTCTCTGGCTGAGGCTGTTGAGGATGGATCTGGTGGGCCCGATGTCATGGACCTCCACTGTGTTCCAGGGGAACCCTGAAGTGGCCGGATGGACGGAATCACGTGGGGGATTTCTTCAAGGGCCTGGAGCAGGGGTAAGGCTGATGGAGACTGAGGCTGCAGTGTGTGTATGCATAGGGAAGGGGCTTCAGTCTCTGTGCCCAAACCTCCAGCAGGAGTGTAGGGACCATATGGCCCAGGTCCTGTCATTGTACCAAAGGGAAGCCTTGGTACCAGGCTCCTGACAGGGGCGTCTCAGCAGGGGCTCGCAGAGGAGTGATTCAGGGCCAGGCTTCCCAGGCTTCATGGTGGCATGACAGAGAGAGAGGTGTCCTGATGCCTTGGAAGAAGAGGGGGGCTGTTCTCCCTGTTATCTGAGGCGGTTCCTTGGGGACAGGGACACCCTGAGTGGCATGGTGTGGCTGTGCCCGGAGGTGGCCCTTGGGGCTGACTCCCCTCCCCCCACACCCTCAGCTTTGGCATCCACCTGGTGCCCCAGGCCGCTGAGGACAAGTTTGACTGCTACAAGTGCCACTGGCAGGAGGGCAGCATGTGTGGCTACGGCATCTGTGAGTAAGTGGCCCTGGCTGGTGGGGGTGGGGTGGGCTTGTGGGAGGGCAAGTCCTGGGCCCAGCTGTGAGGCAGGGCCAGCTGTTGGTGCTGCTCTCCAGGTACGGCACTGACGAGGTGTACAAGGGCTACTTCCAGGAGGGCCTGCGGCATGGATTTGGGGTGCTCGACAGTGCACCACAGGCGCCCCAGCCCTTCAAGTACACAGGCCACTGGGAGAAAGGCCAGAGGAGTGGCTATGGTGTCCAGGAGGACAGTGACAGGTGAGTGCTCACAGCCACCACCCAGGGTGAGGGGCAGAGAGGATCCTCACAGGCCAAATGGTCTCAGGCTCCCTGTGTGCTCCCCGCGTTCCTTCGGCATCCGCCACCTCTGCCACATTCCCTTGGCTGCTGCTGAGGCTCAGGCCGAGGGAGACTGACCATCCCGACTGCAGGGTCCGCCAATTCTGGCGTCCTCTCTGTTAGAGAGGAACCTCTAACCTGGTCCCATTGAGGAACTGAAAGTCTTCCAGGATCTCTGGGTGGGACAGAGCTGCAGGTCCTTGGCCTGGCATTGAGACCACACCTAACCTTCTGATCTGACCCCTGCTAGGCCTCCCATGCACCCCCAGCCTCTCGGGACCAATGACCGTCCCCACAGATCTGTTGTGAGCTCCTCCCTCCCTGATTTTGTCTGCACATAGGCTGCACCCCCACTCCATCTTCCTTCCTGCCACCTCCACCAAGAAGTCCCCTAGGATGCCCTCCCCAGGCAGGCTTCCTCCCCCCCTTCACCCTCTGTTCCTCTTGGGGGTTCTGACCTCGCCTGCCCCTAAGTCGGAGTTGAGTAGATTCCGATATGTCACTGCTCCTAAACTGTCCCCCCACCCCGCCCTCTGCTGGCCCAGCACACAGAGGTACTCAGTAAGATTCTGATCCAACTTTGGCCATACCCTCTCTTCCCCCAGGGGTGAGCGCTACATTGGCATGTGGCGGGCTGACCAGCGCCATGGCCCAGGGGTTGTGGTCACTCAGGCGGGTGTCTGCTACCAGGGCACCTTCCAAGCAGACAAGATGGTGGTGAGTGGGGTGACCTGCTTGTGTCCCGAGCTCCCGGTAGCCTCAGTAACCTACATCTGCAGGCTCCTCACTGGACTCCTAGCTCCAGGCTACCTGCCCCGCTGCTTTGTAGGATCCTCAAGGGAACCCTGCATGTTGATGTCATTATCCTAGCATAGGAATGAGGCTAGAGCAGTCAGAGGACCTGCCCATGTCACATCCTACTGAGCAGCAGAGCTGAGGCTCGAATCCAAGTCCCTAGAGCTTGGTCTCTCAGCTTTCCCCTCTGCCTTGCCTGAACTCGACAGGTGATTGATGTGTGGTAGGCTGTGGCCTATGGCTGTCCTTGTTATTATGACTTCTTTGTTTATATTCCACTTTGTTCTGAAATGTGTTAAGGAAAGCCTGCAGATAAAAAGAAGAAAAGGCAAGAATAGGTACAAAAAATAGATTTACAACCAAGTTGAACACAGACTGTCCTGTTTGGCTCTGAGCTTCCTGACCGCTGCTGTGGCAGGGAAGCAGGGATGTGCTGCTCTTCCTGAGCTCCCAGGGGCTTCCTGCAGAGGGGGTGAGCAGCCAGGTCTGTTTAGGGGAACCCCAGGATGAAGTCCATGAGGCTGGTGCACAACCGGCCAAGGGTCAGTATCCCACTTAGGCACAGTCCTGGGAGAGGGCGACAGGGCTTAGAGCCCCTCTCTCCTGGTGTCAATGTCCACCTCCCATCTTTACCATCCCTCCCCCTCCCCCTCCCCGTGTCCCCGCCCATCTTACTCACCCTCCCTGTTCCCCATGCCCTCCTTCCAAGGGCCCAGGCATCCTCCTCTCTGAAGACGACTCCCTGTATGAGGGCACCTTCACCAGGGACCTGACGCTCATGGGCAAGGTGAGGGCCCCTGGGACCTTGCTCCACACCCTGCCAAGGCCCTGAGTGGCATCTCCTACCTCTGTCCTAGAGCCCAGAGCTGAGAGTTCAGGCAAAGGGTGGAGCAGGAATGGAGGGCCCTTCCTTTGCCTCCACGGGGGCGGTGGGAGTAGGGGTGGGGGTGGGGTGCAATGACCCTGCCATGGAGTCACAGTTTGATTCTGGAGCAACCTAAGAGGGGACTGGAGAACTTGCCTCATGTCCAGAGGATGCTGGTGGTCTCTGGCTGTGTCCCCTCAATGACCCCTAGTTCAGAACACCTGGCTTCTACCATCACCAGTGCCCTGGGCTGCACACCCTGGAGACATTGTCCTTTGTATGTTCCTGCCCAGGCTGCCTCAGCAGAAGGCAGCGGTGCCCTGCTGGGGCCGTGGAAGTGTAGGCCCTTTAGGACAAGGACAGGAGGGCACCCCTGGTGTATAATGGGTGGACATTGGGGTGCTCCGTGGGACAGCCCCATGCAGCCAGGAGTTGGCCCTCCCCAGCCCCTCAGTGCCGGTCCTCCCTATTCTCCTCTGTGAGTCCCTTCTCCGCCTTTCACCCCTTCCTGCTTTGAGAGGGGGATGCAGCTGTTGGTAGGGGCTCCTGAGAGCATTCAAGCCCTCAGGGAAGGAGCAGATTGAATGGGTGCTGGGAAGGCCCCCTCAGTCTGCAGCCTGTCTGACCCAGATGGACCGGCATGAGGCCTGTCATCATGGGGTAGAAGCTGGGCATACAGATATCCCTGCCTCCCTCTCCTGGCTCCCAGGGCAAGGTGACCTTCCCCAACGGCTTCACCCTGGAGGGCTCATTTAGCAGCGGGTCAGGGAAAGGACTGTATACACAGGGAGTGCTGGACACGGCTGCCCTCCCACCAGACCCAAGCAATATCTGCAAGAGGTAAGAGCCTGGCCCGCCTGGCCCCGGCCCACTAGGGCCTGTCTATATGTGTCTGTTTTCACCCCCAAGGTTCAGGTCTCAGTAGATGAGCTTAATCCTCCAGAGAGCCGAAGGCAAACAACCCTCCAGTCAGAAACTCTTGGAATCAAGAGCTGTGTGGAGATAACTCCATACACCATAAAACAGGAGAAAAATGTTAATTGTAGAATTCGCTTTGATCCTGATCTTTTTTTCTAAAAAGAGTACAGACAGTTTACAAACCAAACTCAATAAAAAAGAAAGAAAGAAAAAATGATGAGTTGCTCTTAAAAGACAGGGATAGACAGATAGGTACTACAACAGTTAGTTGAGCTCTAGCCTGGCTCAGAGTTCCCTCGCAGCCAAGGTGAAGAAGGAGATTTGCTACATGGATTAATTGTCACTGTCAAGCGATATTTTTGGAGGGGAAGAGACTTTTTTTTTTCCCCTATACAGACAGAGTTCTTCCTTAGAAAACTGAATTGCCAAGTCTGCTGAGAAACACTTGGGCATGTGCGAGAATCGGTGTGGATGGAGGTTTTAATGAGCCGTGGTCCCAAGCAGCAGTGAGATGTAGAGAGGGGTACAGCTGACTCGTGGACTCACCATCCCTGCATGCTGCCTCTCTGACCGCAGGAGCTGGGGTAGACAGCAACCCCTAGGGGCATGCCCCAGCTGGTGGGGTACAGACAGGGGATAATCTGTGTAATACCAGAGGACAGGACTCCGTTAGTCACAGTCCATTAGATGCACACACAGCCAGGCCTCAGACTGTTGGCCAAAGCAGGATCAACTGCAGGAAGGAACAGGCTGCAGAGGAGGACAGAGCAGGGGTCATGGGAGGGGAATCCTGGGCTTTGAGCACTGGTCTATCCTGGGTCAACACCCCCTTTCTGAGCTTGGCCTTAATCCTGGTCTCGATCCTCCCGGGATTCTGAATCCTGTCACTTCTCCATGGCAGAGTCCATTCTCTTGTCCTTCTGTCTGTCTGTCTGTCTGTCTGTCTCTCGGAGCAGCACCGGAGGTTGGCACTGCCCCTCTCAGGGCCTGGACAGGGTCCTGCCCACTTCAGCTCCACCTCTCCCCTGTCTCGCCACATCACAGGCAGCTGGGTCTGGGTGCCTTCCCCGTGGAGAGCCGCTGGCAGGGAGTCTACAGCCCCTTCTGGCACTTTGTGCTTGCCGACTGCCCTGGAGACCTGCAGGAGGCCCTGCTGGGCTTCCATATGCAGAGCCCGAGGGAGCTGCGCAAGTCCCAGGAGTACCTGTGCTGTGAGAGGTGAGGCCCGCGGTGCCCACATGCGCGTGCCCATGGGGCAGAGGGCCGGGGAAGGCTCCCTGGGGGCTGGGTGTGGGTGAGGGACGCTGTGCATGGTGCTGCCCAGGAGCCACCCCAAGGACAGTGCGGGCAATGTGGAAGACATCCTAGAGGAGTTACTGCAGCACCGGGAGCCCAAGGCCCTGCAGCAGTACCTCAGGAAGGTGAGGGCCCTGGGATGGGCGGCCCACGGGGAGGCCTTGCTCTCACTGGGTCCTGCTGGGGAAGGTTTCCGTTTCTCATGGCAGGGTACCGACCAGAGGGGACAGGCCTGTGGGCCCTTTGTCCTCGGAGGGCCACAGCTTTCTGTCTGTGAAATGGGAGCAGCTGGGCCTGTGGCACTGCTGCTCAGGGTGTTGAGTGCCCGCTATCTCTGCACTGGCCTAGGCTCTGAGCAATTCGCTGCACCCCCTGGGAAAGATGCTCCGGACCCTGATGCTGACCTTCCAGGCCACCTACGCGGGTGTTGGGGCCAACAAACACCTACAGTTTCTGGCCCAGGAGGAGGTGAAGCAGCATGCCCGGGAACTCTGGGCTGCCTACAGGTAGGTGAGCTCCGTGGCACACGGGGCCAGCCACTGCCTCCCCTGTAGCCCCGGGCCTGCTCGTCCCTGCAGTAGCTCTTCCTGATACCCTGATAGCAATGGTGCCTTTACCTCAGGTCTGATCCAGCAAAGAGCCAAGGGATTAGAGATGACAAGGGCCCCACTGCAACCCTCAGCTAGAGTCCAAGCCCCACGTGGCCCTGGGTAGCTCCAACCCCACTGCAGGCCCAGCCTGATCCGGAAACTCGGCACCATCTCTGGTCGCAGGCTAAGCTGCGGCCCCATCAAACATTTCACAAAGAGGCCTTGGATGCTGCAGTTCCTCTGTTACTGGGGCGCAGGACTCTGGTGACATCCTCTAATTGCAGCCTGATGACTGCCGGGCTTGGAGAGGGTGACACTGCAGGCTCAGTGTCCCTGGTTCTGGGATATAGAGCCACCTGCTTTCACCTTGGTGGCTGAGAGGGTGGAGCTTCGGTTCTGTGGCGGTGGCAGCCATGCCATGCCCTCTCGTTGGTTTGCAGGGGTCTGCTGCAGGTTGCCTTACAGCGCAAGGGCCAGGCCCTAGAGGACGAAGATGAAGAGACAAGGTGACCAGCCCTGGCCACTGCTCCTGGGGCCTCCCTCGGGGGATAGGGGGGAAATGTTGGGCATCCATGCTATTGACCAAGCAAGCATTGTGTAGTGATTCTTTGTGAATCACAGTGGAATGTGGGAAAAGAAGTGAGGGAAGGAGGATCTCACAGATTCAAATGAGTCGACTGAGAAAATCTTGGGGAGGTTTTCTAGGGAATGGCGAGGCTAGAGGCAGGGGCTGCATGGTGGGGTGAGGAGCTCAAGCACAGATATTCCCACCTGCCAGGCCTCAACCTCCCACTGACCCAACCTGTTCTGGTTTCTCCCAGGGATCTCCAGGTGCATGGATTGATGCTGCCGCTCGTGCTGCCCAGCTTCTACTCAGAGCTCTTCACGCTCTACTTACTTCTTCACGAGAGGGAGGACGGTCTCTACAGCCAGGGCATAACCCACCTGAGCCTGTTTCCCGACACCAAGCTGCTGGAGTTCCTCGATGTGCAGAAGTAAGCCTCCCTATGCCACCTTAGCCAGTGCTCCAGTGAAACAGACCATACATACTCGACTCACACGGTCCTCAACCAAAAGCAGGGCTAGGTTAATTGGCTCACATACTACAGAGTTCTAAGGTTATGCATTCAGGTGTGGCTGGATCTAGGTGCTCAAAGAGAAGCCCCCTTTTCTTTCTCTGTTTTTTCTCTGACTCTCCTTCGTGGTGACAAACATGGCAGTAGCCTCTTGAGGGTTATACCCTCCCAGCTCAGTCTCCTCACTGTCCACATAGGCATTTCCTTCCCAACAGCTCCAGCAGAGCACTTGGAGTCCCTCACTGGCTTAGCTTGGGTCTTGAGCCCACCATGAAAAGCAGGTCTCAATGACCAGGCCCGCATCAGTAGCCACCATGAAGGCTGGGCAAGGTTGAGTGCTCTGGACACTTGGAGAGTCGGGGAGGGGAAGTCCCTGGTAGCAGGTCAGACAGGTGTTTGCCATACCTGGGGACCTCCCTTCTACCCTATCCTTGTCCTTTTTCCTCAGCACCTCTCTAAAACATTGACACCATGAATAATTAACCCGTAGTCCCCATTGGGGTGCTTGGCCACGGTCCCTCCTCCTACACATGGTCTCCTTTGTCACACAGCAAGGGCTTCTGCCTCCAGGAATCCTGCTGTCCTCCCCTGGCCTTGAGTTCCACACATGTGCCTAGGGACATTTTTTTTTTTTTTTGGTACAGGGGATTGAACTCAGGGGCACTCTACCATGAGCCTCATCCCCAGCCCACTTTTGTATTTTTTATTTAGAGACAGGGTCTCACTGAACTGCTTAGGGCCTCATTTTTGCTGAGGCTGGCTTTGCCCATCCCCCTGTTTCAGCCTGCTCTTGGGGACTGGTTCCCTTCTCCCAGGCTATCCTCAGCCTTCCTGGGTGACAGCAGCCTTGCCCCCTGAGCTCAGCCCCTGCCCCTCATCCTGGCAAAGCCTCCTGTCATATGCCTTTTTTTTTTTTGCAATTTCAGGCACCTGTGGCCCCTCAAGGACCTCAAGCTGACGACCAATCAGGTGAGAGGGTGGGCCCATCGCCTGCCTCAGGATGGCTGTGGGCTGTGGGAGGTGGAGAAAGATGAGAGAGGACATGCCAGGCTTCCTGCCTCATTCCACCTCCCGCGATGACCAGGCTCCAACACAGGCTCTGCCCCTTTTCTACTGTGTGACCCTCAGCCAGATGCTTGAACCCTGAGTCTCAATTTGCTCCCATGTAAAGGGAGCCACTTCCAGGCCCATCTCACAGGGTGGGTGTAGGGTGAAGGCACGTGAGACATTTGTTCCCAAAGCGTGTTCCTGACCAGCAGCAGCAGGACCATCTGGAACCAGATTCTTGGACCACCCCACATTTGTTGAGTCAGAAACTGAGGGAGTCACCCAGGAACCTGTGTTGCAACAGGCCGTTGGGTTTGGGAACCACTGACATGGACCTTTGGGGTCGGGGGGCATCTGGTGACTACCGGCTACCCACCTCTATCCTCCCAACCCCCTGGAGCTGTTACCGCATTTGATAGTTGCATAAGTAAGGCCCACATGGAGTTGTGACTTACCCTGGGTCACTCAGCCCTCTGGATGGGGCTGTGCTAAAGTCAGTGATGGGGAAGGGACTTGGGGCAGCCTGAGCCCTGGGAATGAGGGCATGTCAGCAGGGACTTCAGCCTCATTTTAGTCTACTCCCCACACAGAGGTACTCGCTGGTCAGGGACAAGTGCTTCCTGTCTGCCACCGAGTGCCTGCAGAAGATCATGTGAGTCCCTGCCCTGAGGAGGTGGGCAGGGGACCTGGGAGTGTTGGGGGTCCCCAGCTGGGGCTGAACCCAGGGATCTTGACCTGGAGCCAGCCACCTTGCCGCAGGACCACAGTGGACCCTCGGGAGAAGCTGGAGGTACTAGAGAAGACATATGGGGAAATCGAGACCACGGTGACGCGGGTGCTCGGCCAGGAGCACAAGCTGCCCATGGATGACCTGCTGCCCTTGCTCGTCTACGTAGTGTCACGGGCCCGGTGAGTCCCAGCCAAGCCAGGTTCATGGTTGGGGTGGGGGTACAGGTGCAGCAGCCCCCTTGCACCCTGCCCAGATGGTCTGAAGTCTGTGGACATCACGGTTACTGATGCAGGTTTCTTGGTAGAGACAGAGGCCCAGAAAGGGGAGGGTCCTGTGGGCATCAGAGATAGTGGGGACCACATATGAGGTGTCCAGCCCTCTAGGCCAAGGCCCCGTCCTTGCTCAGCTGTGCAGTGCCTCTCCAGGATGCTGCCGTCTTCTCTCCCTCACTGTCTTGGGGTGGGTGTTCTCCAGAATTCAGCACCTGGGAGCCGAGATCCACCTGATCCGGGACATGATGAACCCTGTCCACATAGGAGGCCTGTATGACTTCCTGCTCACAGCCTTGGAGGTGAGGGACAGGACTATAGGCTGAGGTAGAAAAGTGCTGGCCACAGGGACAGACCTCTTCCCTGCCCCAGACCCCCTCAAGGGGATGAGCTCAGATTTGCAGCTCATGTGTTGTACTTCTGTGGAAAGGGTCCTCGCAGGTTCTGTCCTTGTTAATAAGGGACCAAGACCTCCAGGCCACATCCCCAAGCCCAGTGGGAGAGGAAAGGTCCCATTTTCCTTGAAGAATATGACCGAGGGCTGAGTAGGAGCCACTTAGTCTAGACCTGGGAGGTGGGTGCCCTGGGCTTTGGGCCCCAGAGCCTGTGCATGTGGCTAGGAGCAGGCAGGCTGGGGGCCCAGCCTCTCCTCTCTCTCCCCAGTCCTGCTACGAGCACATCCAGAAGGAAGACATGAGGCTGCGGCACCTGCCTGGCCACTGGGACTCCAGGGAGCTCCGGTAGCCCCGTCTTTCCGGGACAACATCAGCACTGAGAAGGCCACGCAGACTCCCCGCAGGAGCAGGCAGCGCCATCTGCTCCCCATCACCCAGGGCCAAGGGCAGGACGGGCCCTCGGAGGCAGCTCTTGGAGGAGATGGGCATTTTGTTTTTCAAGGAGAGATGCTGCTGCTGTCCTCCCAGGGTGAGGTGAGGGGCGACAAGTGCGGCCCCAGAGCGCATGGGTTTCCGTTGGTCACTAGGCCAGCCTCCAATGACCCCCTTAATCAGCAGCAGCTCCTAGTCTGGGGTGAGGAGTTGCTGGCTTTTCAGACTGAGTCTTGCTTCGGAGTTGCTGAGCCTCTCTGGGCCTCACGCTGCTGCCTGTCAAATGTGGGGGAAGGGTAGATGGCCCATAAAGGTCCTTCCAGCCACTCGCTGAATTCTGGAGTCCTTCCTGAAGCCAGCCGTTAGTTTGTGGAGCTGTTCGAAGGCTGTTTATTGGGTTTTTACTCCTCTAAGTATTCTTCTGGTGACCTGCCTCTTTCCCAGCTCTTCCCAGGGCTAGCTGGCCTCCCAGGGTGGGTGGCAGAAACGCTGTAGCTCCTCGCCAGCCTGCTAGGTGGGCTCTGGCAGGTGCTTGCCCTTCTAAGTGTGCAGTGGAGAGGGTGGACTTGGAGTCCCTGAACTGCCCTTGCTTGTCTGTGATGTAAATGGCGATAAAGGATGGTCCTGTCGGCAGACCCCAAGTGGCCCCTGAGTTACATGCCCGAGGCCTCTGTTGGTATGTCTGGAAGGAACAACGGGGGGGACCTGAGCCCAATCTGTGCCCTGGCTGACAAGCACCTGGAGCCAGGACTCTCTGGAGTTGGGGAGCTTAGGTTTTACTTAGTTTCTCATGTGGAATCCCCAAGTGCAGGAGCTGGACCTTGGGGCAGCCTCATCCCTTCCTGGCCTCAGTTTCTCTTCCATTAAGGGGCTTGGGCCAGGTGACCTGCAGGCTTTCCTGCTGCGCTAACAGTTGAGTGACAGTGGGCAGTGTGACGGTGCTCTGAAGTGGCCAGAAGGGGTGAAGCATGGCCAGAGGGTGAGCAGGGCCTGATGCTGAGCCCTGGGTCATAACCAGGGTTGATCTCTGATCCTGACTCCAGGTGTGCCTCCCACTGACCTCAGCCTGTGAGGGAAGGGCTGGAAGCCACCGAGAAAGCCACTTACCCCTGAGGGCAAGGCTGAGCCCCAGGGCCCCAGGGCAGGGGAACCCAAGGAACCTCAGAGATAGGACAGGGCAGCGGGTGGGGAGACCCAGCTGGCCCTCTCACTGCCGCCTCCAGAGGAGCAAGAGAGGCTTTCTCTGGCTGGTTCCACTGAATGCACCAGCCTGAACAAAGGGCCTGGAGTTCTGGTTCTGCTGGGAACCTGTGGTGTCCCCAAGAAAGTCCCCAGGAAGACACCTACCCCTGGGGACTCGTGACTCACCAGTACTTCAGTCGTCTTCAACTCTTACTAGCTTGTTCCTGCCCTTTGACAAGTAAGAACTTCCTGACCCCATGCCTCAAAGGCAGCCCCAAATTCCCACAGAGACCTCAAAAACCTTGTGGCCTCCTCTGGGATCCGTGAGCCCTTGCTGCAGTGTTCAGAGGTAACAAGACCCTGCTGCCCATCCTCCCTCTGGCCTCACCCACAGCCAACTGAACAGAAGCCTCTTGACATGGCCTTGCAGGCCATATTAAAAGGGTCCTGGAAAGTTCCAAGGGCCACCAAGGGTATAGCAGACCCTTACAGCAAAACCCATAGGGCAATAGGGGCCTTTGCATTAGAGAGTAGGGAGATTGACGGCAAGGGGAGTGCTTCGTTACAGAAGCCAGGTGACCACCTGCATGTGTGCCTCGGGAGCTGCTGCAGAGGGGTCACCTACAGGCAGGTCAGTCACACCTCAGTGATGGCCTCTTCCAGCTGGATTCTTCTGCAGGTGATGACTATGTACCATCCTAGAATGTCTCCCACTCTCTGATGACTGGGCCATGTCAACAGAACCGTCTCAGGAGTTGTCACGTACATATCGTGATCAACATCCATGACTGCCCAGCCCAGCAGGTGTGGAGGTGAGAGAAGCAGCGGGCCAGCCCTCCCAGCTTTTGTCCTACCTTGTCACAGCAGGTTCCAGCAGCCTGGTTCCCCAAAGGAAGGCCGGGAGGGGAGAGAGAACTTACGGTGTGGTCTCTCACAGCTGCCGCCTGCCCTCAGTCCACCTCCCTGCCTCAAAATTAAACATTTTATTCCAGTGGTACTTTTCTGGGGGAATGATCACAATTAGAGTCCACTTATTTCTTCAGGTTTTAAAAGGTCCATTTCATCTTTTAATGGTACCTGCTGCCTGTGAGTGACAGAGGAGGTAAAATGTACCACAGAGGCCCAGGTAGCTGCTCCTGCTGGTACTGTGGCTGGGAGGGTACCCCGGCCGGCCTGCTGTGTTCAGGGAGTTGACTCAGGTGCACAGAGCCCACATCCACTCTGCAAAAGGAACTTCTGTGAGATTCCTAGAAAACGCATGTACTGTGGTCCCCACACAGTGGCACTCCTGGGAGGCCAGGAAGGATTTATAAAATCTTCTTGCCAGCAGTGGGCAGGCCCAGTGTGTTGGACTATGCATCCTGGAGTCCCTTTGTCACATGACTATGGAGCTTGCCCTCAGGCATGTTTGCTGGGCTTCCTGGGCCTCACTGGATGGAATCACTGGGCTTTGCAGAATTGATCAGCTTACGGTTCCACTGATGTTTTATTCCCAAAGGGTCCTTTTCCATGGACATCCATATATGCCACGGGTAGAGGGCATGGACCTGTGTAACCTCCTGCCATAAGGTGTGTCCTTACAGGGGGTTGGAGCTAGAACATCCAGTTGTTCTACTGTTAGGTGGCCACTCGCTACCAGTAGGCAAAAATGTAACATGGTACATTGCTGCGGTTCTGGTCAGTTAGTTGCTCGGCTACCTTGTCGCGGGGGGGTAGAGACGCAGAATCAACACACAGACTCCAGGAGCTGGTGAGAGAACTCAGGTCTTCGTCCAGTAGCTCAGTTTATTTTTGGAATGCATACAATTGTTATAGGGTTTGAGTGGGGCGTGCCCATCAATCATACACAAGCAAGATAGTATCCATAAGCCAATCATCTTATACCTAACGTAACCGCACTATGAGGATGCTCTAAATATTGCTGTCATCAGGAAGGGTCTTGGTCCCTAGGGGAGGGGGTTTCTAAGTTAGAAGTTCCATGCCTGAAGCTCCTGGCTATCAGTTTCCTAGCCCGACAGCTTGGCAACGCTTACCACAAGTGCTAAGGATGTGGTTTCGCTAACGGCTCACTAGAGCAGAGCACCCCATCCTGCAGGCGTTCCTAACAGGCCTGAATGAGTGTAGATTCTTCAAGCACTCCGAGCTGCTCATAGCTGCTAGCTGTAAACCGAAAGTTATTCCAACAGTATATCACAGTCTGCCCCTCTGCTCATGGAGCAGAGATTTTTCTTCATACATAGTAATAAACAGATTTTGGGAGGGGGAGGTGGTACTGGGGATTGAATTCAGGGGCACTCTACCACTGAGCCACACCCCCATCCCTAGTTTGTATTTTATTTAGAGACAAGGTCTCACTGAGTTGCTTACAGTCTCACTGTTGCTGAGGCTGGCTTTGAACTTGAAATCCTCCTGCCTCAGCCTCCCGAGCTGCTAGAATTACAGGCGTACCACTGCACTAGGCTTAAACAGGTTTTTATTTTTATTTTTTTTTCCTGTGATTGTCCAGTGGGGCCTTTAACTTAGCTGATCCATAAGGAGTCTAGGGTAGAAAGCGTGAAAACAGATCCCAGAGTCTCTGGAGGATCTGCTCCCGCCTCACCCCCAGTACATAGGAAGCAAGGATTTTCCATTGGAAATTCTCCTGTGAGGTGCTTCTGAATCCTTGTCATTCTCTGTTCCTGCCCTCCCTCATTTGGCCTCATATCACTGGGAGTGAGGTCCTTGAGAGGAAGAGATGTCACTCCTGGCCTCAGGAGGATCATCAGTAGTGGTCTTAGTTGCTTGAGTCCCATTCTGGCCTGGAACTGAAACCCTCCCTCTGGTGCCAGGCAAGTGCCATGCTGTGGAGTCCCACTGCCCTGAAGGCCCTTGCTGTTTGATTCATCACATTTCATTGGTTGGTGGCTCAATGAGGAAAGAGACAGATGGATGACCTGCTAGAAGGAGCAGGGGAGGTGCAGATCTCTCCCTGTCCTCCTGGAGCTCCCAGGCTTGTGAGAAGCAGGAAATTGAGTTAGGAAATAGTGTCAGTAAGGACAAAACACACACACAATGACAGGATGCAGGACCAGGAAGGTGCAGTAGGCTGTAGCCAGAGAAGCCTCTTGTGGGAGCAATGTGGAGGCTGGAAACCCACAGGATGAGAATGTTCTGGTCTGGGCAGAGTCGGGGCCAGGTGAAGGACATGGTGTAGAGGCCATGAGGTAGGAGAGGCTGCAGGGACTCCAGGAACATTGAAACAGGTGGAACGAGTGGCCAGAGGACAGAGGCAGGGGTCATGCAGAGCAGACCGAGAGGTTCTTGATCCCAAGGATCCATGTGGAATCAGTTTTTTGCAAAGGTGAAATGAAAGAAATCCCCTTGTGGAGAGCAATATCAAGCAAATGAATGATTTCTGATCAATAAAAGTAACTCAGCAATGAATATTTGTCATTTCTGATTAGAGGCAGGCATGCAGGTCATTGATATATTTAGGCTGGGCTGGAGACCAAACCCAGGGTCTCTCTCTCTCACACACACACAACTCTTTTTGGACTACTTGGGATTGAACAAAGGAGCATTGTGCCACCAAGATATATCCTAGCCCTATTTTTAATTTTACTTTTAAATTTTGAGACAGGATCTTGCTGAGTTCCTACGCTGGCCTCAAATTTGCAATCCTTCTGCCTCAGCCTCCCCACTAACTGGGATTATAGGTGTGCACCACCACACCCAGCTATGCAGAGCACTTTTTAATGAAATGTTGAGTACAGTTAAGTACTCTGACCTATGAGTCAGATCTCAGGGTGTGGTCAATTCAGCAAGCACTAGCCATTGTGCACAGGCTGTGGGCAGGCACTTCACTAAGGTTTAGGCACATAAAAATGCAGTGGTCCAGGGCTGAGGATGTGGCTCAAGCGGTAGCACGCTCTCCTGGCATGCGTGCGGCCCGGGTTCGATCCTCAGCACCACATACAAACAAAGATGTTGTGTCCGCCGAAAACTAAAGAATAAATATTAAAAGAAAATTCAAAAGAAAAAAAATGCAGTGGTCCTTAACTCCTTTGGTTCAACCATGGATGTAGTCTCACTATGCACCTCCTTCTTTTGTTCAGTTTCTCCTTCCTTCTTCCTACAAATGATTCCTGGGCTGTTCCCTGTTGTA